GGGGGGGCGAGGGGGCTACCCTTGGAAAATTGAAATTGATATTATTCAATACCCACAATCTTGAAAAAGCCAGAAATAAATTAAGTACAATAAACATATATGTAGTAAGAGTGAAAAACACATGCCAAATTTTCCTGGGGTCTCCAGTCCCCCTTACCGTGGGTCTTAACTTAACACTGACACTGTAGGAGCCACAGTTAAAATATCTTTTGATGCAGTATTTTGTTTTTTAAAATGATAATTCTCAGTGAATATTATACTATTAACAAACAGCCCGGTTAAACAGTCATTTCAAGAACTTGCTCAAATTCATGTTTTAGGGTGATACGATATATAAGCTTAATTAAACCCGGAGTTAGGTCGTTTAAGGATACGAGCAAAGCTACACAAGTCGTCTTTTATTTCTTCCAAAGTTCCCAGTCCAATAGTATCTACAGAGACGCCAAGGTTGTCTTCATCGTCTATAGTGCTCGGCCAGTTACAGTTGGTAGTCGTCGCAAGGAAATCTTCAAGACTCCGCGGTGGAGAGTTTTCTCTTAGCCTTCTCTGACCTTCGTCTTCGCTCTCCTGTTGCTCAATACTCGCAAGAATCGCTTGCATTCTTGAATCGACGCCAAAGCTTCCTTCCATTGCTGTTATTTTATTATTTAGGCAAATATTTTTGCATCGTTTCCAGTTCAAACTTGTCCGCCATTTTATCTTAAATGGCACAAAACAAACCCATATGGGGAAGGGGTAAATTCAACAAATAGGAAAAAAATATTAGCATCCCCTTCCACAGAGAAAAGCCAAAAATATTTTTCAAAAAAAACGATGTTACTAATATAAGGTCATTAAGATAGCAAATTTTACGTTAACGATGACTTTTAGTATATATTTTAGCAAGTTTGAAGGTATATTATCCCCTTCCCCCTTAGATATATTTTTTGCACTGTCTTGAGCCTGATGTTTTGGCAATATGTAGTTGCCATAACAACACACCACGTGTTTTCTGGGTGGAGACTGGGAGACAGTCATGAACGAGTAACGCCTTTCTTTTTTTGACTTTTCCCTCGAATATTCTTTGAACCGATAAAACATTTCTAGGAAATATCGGAATAAATATGTAAGGTATTATTTTAAGCTTCCTTCTGGATCAAGATGAAGAATATCTTGAAATAGCTGAGAATTGTGAGTATAAAAGGCTCTGATAGATTTATTGTTTGGTCATAAGGACCACCAGTTATTTGGCGTTCCCAAGGGCTTTCACATTCCATGTGCACACGCGATTAACATTTATTTCGAAGCTTAATATTCGAGTGTTTTTTTCAGATCCTTAATGACTAAGATCTTGAGTTTCTTAAACAGCTATCTAAACAACTTCCAGTACATTTTTCTAAGGATTTTCTACCAAATCTTCACTATGAAAGTCAATAATTGATTTACAATAGAGTAATTCACCCGCCTGATATTATGTAATATATTATTATTTCGATATTACGTAAAGTTTTTCTCATTATTCTAGTTCACTAATTATTTATTCTTTTATTATTATTGTGTATTCCTCATATGTATATACACCTAGACTTGCAAGAACGTACGAAAATAGAACATACGAAAATAGAACATTAGTGATTCAGTGAGATAGGAATTATATTAAAAAAACAAAAGAAGATCACTGAAGGTGAACTTTTTGTCTTGTCTTTTAATGTATTCCTTTCTCACTAATTTACTAATGTTCTATTCTTGTATGACAACCTTCTTGCAAGTAGGTGTATATATATATATATATTCTTTCTTTTGATGGCCCAATGTAAGATTAGTTTTAACCTTAGGGTTAGGGTTAGGGTTTGTATTATTATTGATAAAGTTTATTAGAACAATAACGATAATTAACATAATAAGATACTGCATCTTTCGTTTGAGCACGGGGGTACTCCCCTATATTTGCTATACAGGAATGTGCCGCCGAATAGGGTATGGTTTTCAGCAATTCTACTCTGGAACAGGGCATACAGTCTTTTGACTAAACGCTGTTGTTGATCGGATCATCCCTACGCACCTAGACTGAAAAGGATAACGAGTAAATTACCCAGAACTTGCGTCATCCAAACTGCTTGCCAGTTTAAATCTTCGCCGTATGCTTGGGGTATGGTTTTTAGCAAATTAAATGGGATTGAAAACAGCGAGCTCAAGACGTGTTAGATATCATATGCGGCAGCTAGTAACTGTGAGTTAATTATCCCCATGATACTTTTTGGTCTAGGCACGTAGGGATGAAGCCGATCAAACGACATTGTTTAGTTAAAGGAATGTATAAAATCACGCTTGCTCTGGAACAGGGTATATGAAATCATGCTCTCTCCTCTCTGGAGCAGGGTTTTCAGCGATCTTGCTCTGGAACAGGGTATGAATTTCAGCAATTTTTACTCTGGGACAGAGTCAGGGTTCAGAGGGCTCAGCAGCCCCCCCACCCCGGGCGTTTGAACTTGGAATGGCTTTAGTCTTATCTATTAGTTTCAATGTCATTGAAACTTTTTTATTTTAACGATTAGTTTCAATTTTATGTAAAACTTAAGATGCATGAAAATAGAATGAGAATTAGGTCCCGTCCACGCGTATCTGGAAATTTTTGTATCCGCAATTTTTTTTTTTTGCGGATACATGCAGCATATTCGAATTGTTTTCGAATCATTTTTACTGTCCACACGTATCCGGGAATTTCTTCATCCGCCCTAATGCACCCTAGTGCTTAGTCCCTTTGATGGATAGTTTTCCTTATTGAGCATGCGCAAAATCGTGTTTACACCAGCGTATTTGAAAATTTGTGGGTACGACTGTCCACATGTATCCGTATTCGGAGCGTATTCGAAAATTTCCGGATACGGATACAAATATTTCTGGACACGTGTAAAGGCAACCCGTATCCGCAAAAAAAAATTGCGGGTAGAAAAATTTGCGGATACACGTGGACAGGGCCTTAAAAGGTGTCAAAAGAAAACAAACGAGTCGTGCTTTGTGCATCTTAAGTTACTTGGATTAGCTAATCAGAAAGGAGCACACACAATTTTCAACCTAATGACATGATAATGTTATGATGCCATAAGTAATTTTTTCTACATTGAAACTAACCTATAAAATTCTGGTTATTCCGAGCTCAACCAAAAAATGTAGTACAATATTCACTGAGACCTTTGAAACCAGAGTCATTCCATGGTATGTGGAACAAAGAAATATTTGAAAGCTATTTTTCAAACTCTACACTTCCTCTAAATTACTAATCTTCAAATGAATTAAGTCAATCATTAAATAAGTTTTTTTAGATAAATATGTAAAACTAATGAAGTGGTAGTGCTACAGAATCTAAATGATAATATTCTTAGTATTTCTCTTAAAATACATTGGTGAAAAAAATATTAATTATAAATTGGTAATGATCGGTGATTAATTGATCATTATCTTTGAATTTGTTGTTTCAGGGTTTTATAGGGCAGTAATATACTTCTCAAGTTTTGCATAACATTTTGATTAAAGGATGGACAATCCTATTCAACCTACAAAGCTGTATAACAGCTTAATAGAAATGTGTATTGTGGTCGGCATGGATCAGGATACTGGTCTCTCACCTTCCTCCAATATGAAGGTACTAGTAAATGTTAGTTTTCTGCCTTTTATTTTTATTTTTCATGCTTCATGAAATAGAAATCTTAATATGATTTAGCATAAGTCTGTTTTTAGCATCCCAATTAGTTCATTTGGTTAGGCACGGGTTTGTTTTACAGAAGTCATGGGTGTAATCCACTGTGGCCCGATTAACACGTACTCAGGGTCTTAAAATATCTGTGAGTAAAAGAAGCTGCCTTTACTGGAAAAATATCTGTAAATGGCTAGACCTTTTCTGTGATCAGATCACATAAAATGGAGGTCTTGTCTTAGAGACGTTAAACATAATAGAGGGCCATAGGTTTTTCAGTGCTCCTTGTACTTGTACATGTAAATTGGCAACTGTCACATGTCAACCTCTCAATAAAAGATCTTCTCCTTCTTCTTCTCCTTCTTCTTCATCATCATCATCATCTTCTTCTTCTCCTACTTCTTCTTCTTCTTCTTCTCCTTCTTCACTTCTTCTTCTTCTTCGTCTTGTCCTTTTCCTTCATCCTCTATGTCGTCGTCGTTAAAGTTAATATTATTATCAAGCGCTCTTTTAA